ACCCAGTACAAATACTAGTCTGCCAAACTACGGCTATCTTAGATAGTCAAATCATAATCAATACTATACTCCCCTCTGTGTTTCAGTTAGAATGGGATTGGGATGAGAAGTTCTGACTAGGCAACCAGTGTGAATACGATCAAGCGGTAGTAATGCGTCACGGATTCACATGATAGTCGGGCAAAATCTTTAGTGATTGAAGTGAAATAAAATTCTGGTCAGCAGCAGTCGGACCTCATAGTTCAGTTGGCAGAGCACTGGGCCGGTAACCCGGTGGTCTCTGGTTCGAATCCGGCTGCGGTCCAGATCTTCGTCTCAACTTCAGTTATCATCCAGTATAAAATGATTAAAACAATTAAGTGAAATAACACCGGAAACTAATCAAAGTGAAGGCAATAAGAGTGATAAAGGAAGGATACAAAGGTTAAATTAACAAAGAGGGGAAGCTAATGGGATGGGAAAATATTATGGGCATGATAAAACAGTAACTGCACATACTTTTTTTGTACACACAGATCAGGTTATAGTTCATGAACAGCTAAAGCCTCCGCTGTTGAAAACAAAGAGAACGTGGGAGGTTTGGGCGAATTTGATACATAATTTTGAAGTCATTGTCTGGATTTGTTGTGTGATGGAAGTCAATCAAATGTTCTAGAATCGAACTCCTATCAGACTTTCTTTCACCTTTATAAAACCAAGCAGGAACATGTTCTCGTATACGTGTTGAAAGCATTCTCTGACTACGGCCAATGTACCTTACTGCAGGTGAACTGGTAGATGCACATAAAGGCGGTCAAACGAAGAAGCTTATCTTTAACATAAACGCAGAATAGGTTACTCCTGATAAAAGTCAACTAAAGTCTTACTGCGAAGAAAGTTCCATTGATTGATCTGCATAGACGATTCTTTAGTATATCCGATGCCAGGTCAGAGTGAATAAGATTTCTTTTTCTGTTGATTGGCACCCAACTATAAAAATTAGTTAGTTGTCCGTTCCACTTTGGTTTTCTGTAGATGAATCTTTTGAGGTATCCATTCTTACGTTGGATGAGAAGCATATCAAGAAAAGGAATAGTTGATTCTGATTCCTTCTCTATGGTAAAGTTGAGGGCTTGATGACATTCATTGGATGAGCGAAAAATACCGTCTAGATCAACATTTTTGTCACAGATGACAAACGTGTCGTCCATATATCTTCTATAAGAGTCAAAGTTATTAATATTAAGGATGGATTGTGGCTAACAGTGGAATCAAGGATGCGCATTTCGTCCTACTTGGGACTCGTCAGCTGGATGTACCTGCTTCCCAGTGCGGTTTGATGTTGTTCCCACCAACGGGATTCAGACTCGGGGGCGATCGCTTCAAACACCAGGACGTTATCCACTACACCACCGAGCCACGATGGCCACTTCTTATGTGACGGGATTCCACTGCTAGCCACGATCCATCGATGGTGTAGTGGATAACGCCCTGGTGTTTGAAGCGATCGCTCCCGAGTCCGAATCCCGGTGGGAAGAACATCACTTCGCACTGGGGATCAGGTACATCCAGCTGACGACTCCCAAATAGGACGAAATGTGCATCCTGGATTCCACTGTTAGCCACGATCCATCATTTCTATCATTAGTGCACAGGCAATAACGAGGCATCCGCACAGGAGCCCATACACTAATAGAGACCGATCAATTCGGTCCAATCAACGACGGTATCATATGAAAACCCTTATACTAAAAGTTATTAACAGCTTGACAAAGTTGTGAATTCTGTAGTTTCCACACGTTTACCAGAACATGTTCCTGATTTCTCGTACAAACCGGAGGACAGTGTGGAATAGCTGTTCATCGTTGAAGAATGGTAAAACTGTTATCGAAAGTTGGGCTGTTGATGGGAAGAGGGATGCAGTTGATTGTGGAATGTAGTTTGATACAGATACATTGTGCTGCTCGTCCTCCTGAATCAGCCAACGGAGAGATGTGCACTCGACACAGGACGTGATGTGAGTGCGGAAAAACTTGGCATAATGCAGAAGAAATTGCAGGACAGTCGTCTGTTACGAAAGCACCCACTCTGCGGCTTCCAATAATAATCTTAAAATACCTCAGAAATGCACCAATCACTGCTTATGTGAACAAAAGCTATGGGAATAACCGTGAAGTTGATGTCGATGGCTACTAACTCGTGGAGAAAAGAATTCTCATTATTAGTCTCGTAAGTGCGATCGAGACCCAGTAGATCAAAACAGTTTTCAGCTGATCGGCTGTGGAGAAAAAAAATGATTTCAGATCTCCATCATCTGTGACAGAGAAGGATGCTGACCCACCTTGACTGATTATATGCGCCTACAACAACGTCGTTACAAGGGAAATTTCAACTACCGGTCAAATTGCACTTAGGGAAGAGGCGATAACGCATATTGAACACATCTTCTACTATTCAGTCGTTTACTATAGTGTGCATAAAAGAAACTAACAACATTAAATACAGCCGTTCCGGATACCAGCAATGGCCTTATGCTCTCCAATTCAGCTCCTGTCTACTTTCACGCCCAAGAAATATTATCATAAAGCAGTGAATTGCAGGGATGATTGTGAGTTAACAGCCATCGAGTAACTGTTCAGAAACCTTCTGACCGGTGTTCACTAGCCTTAAAGCAAACAAACTTAACGTAAGTTCTTCAGTTACCTTGCAAATGTGAATCTCGCACAATGTAGTGTGTGTACGTGTGTTTCTCATACTCCTTCACGGTGACCTTCAAAGACTCTAAGGACGGAAAAGCGGTGAGACAAAAACTCTCTATAATAATCGATTCGTTTTCGGTTACAACACTTCGGACGGTATTGTCACTCATCATGAAAACGAGGCAATCCATAGTCAGTTTGCTTCCTTTTATAGTACTTTTCGATTTCATACAACCAATAACATAGGATAGTTCATCGTCTATTTTTATTGGACAACAAGTGACACAGAGGGTGAAGGGGAAGGGGTAGAAAATAACAGTTTAAAAAAATTATTACCGTGGACCAAATGAATTTCTCATTATGAGGTGTGATAATTTATGCTTGAAACATGGTCATCAAGTAGATAATAGATTATCACTCAATGTGTTATAAATCTAATAAACAAATCTCTAATCTGAAATTTAATTCTGCCACAGTGCCCAAGTTGAGGGGATCCAGTCAGAAGCACTGAGAACAGACGCAGAGACAACAGCAGACATGCTCACACCACACCACTATTGCAGAAGGTGTGGAAGGAAGAGAAGGTACCTGGCAATTGATTGGAAGAAGGGTTACCTTGTCAAAATGCCGAAGAAGGGAGACCTCAGTGTTTGCAAGAACTGGCGCGGAATCACTCTCCTGTCCACCCAACGCAAGCAAAATATTAAGCCGCATCATCCTGGAGAGACTAAAGGATGCACTGGATTCAAAACTACGACCGAAACAGGCAGGCTGGCTTCAGGAAGTACAAATCATGTGCAGACCAAATTGCACCACCAGGCTACGCATCATCATAGAACAAAGTATAGAATGGCAATCAGCTCTCTACCTCAACTTTATCGACTTTGAGAAGGCCTGTGACAGCGTCGACCGAGAAGTAATTTGGAAACTGCTTCAATACTACGGAGTACCGCAAACTTTATCCGCCTCATTCAACAACTATAGGAAGACACCACATGCCAAGCAGTTCATAATAGGAAGCTCAGTGATGCCTTTTGAAGTGAAGACAGGAGTGAAACAAGGTTGCCTACTATCCCCCATGATATTCTTGATTGTGGTCGACTGGACTGGATCATGCAGCAAACAGTGGGGAGCGAGAAGATGGGGATACACTGGACTGCGGAAAAGAACCTAGAAGATGTGGATTTCGCCGACGATGACTTGTGCCTGATGTCACATAAACTTGAAGATCTGCAGGCAAAAACTAACAAGTTGATAGAAGAGGCAGCGAAGATGGGACTTCAGGTGAATATAGAAAAGACAGAATTGATGAAGATACCGCACCATCAACAACAACTACAAACTCCAGTCACCATCACCGTCAACGGGAGAAACTTAAAGGAAGTAACCTCCTTCACATATCTACGAAGCACTGTTTCAACTACAGGCGGCACAAGCACAGACGAGGATGTCAAAGTCAGAATTGGAAAAGCAAGACAGGCGTTCATTAACCTGAAACCAGTGTGGAGATCTTCTGCACTCAACTCAGCATGTGGAACAAGGTGCGGATTTTCAACACCAACTGAGTCAAGTCAGTGCTTCTGTGTGATGGTTGAGAGACTTGGCGTGTTACGAAAGGTATTTCCAATAAACTACAGAAATTCATCAACAACTGCTTACTCTGGCTCGCTACTGAAGATCAGATGAGATGGCCAGAATAATAAGAATAAGCAACAAGGAGCTGTGGGAACGAACCAACCAAGAACCTATCGCTCGACAAATATGCAGTGTAAGGAATTGGAGATGGATTGGGCATACACTGAGAAAGCCGACTGTGGACATCACGCGTCAGGCCAGTTGCTCGAGTGGAATCCACATTGGGAGCGACGAGTTGGACGTCTGGAGTGAGGGTGACATGGAGAAGATCGTGTGAGGAGGAAATGAGAGGTTGTGGGCTGTCGTGGAGCCAGGTTCAAACGATTTCGGAGAACAGAGTTCACTGGAGACGAGCTAGTGAAGCGGTATGTTCCATTAGAAACCCAAGGGACTAATAAATAAGTAATAAAGTAAAACTTTGCCCAAGTTATACACTTATAGAAGAATAGGTCCCTTTTCAATCTACAAAGATCAAAACTTCAATACGAAGTTAGCATAATTTGTAGTAATGGAAGTCAGGTAGGCTAAAGGTAATGCTTTTCTTTCAAAGTAATCAATGAAATCTACATATTATGAAGTTGAATATGATGTTCAGTTGTCAGTTAACGCTTCTAAAATCACAATGTTGAGGTGACATGTAAATAATGAAGCATAATCAGGAAGAAACACTTTTATTAGCTAAAAATTTTAACTATTGATAAATGCTTCAGTAGTACAAGTCTATTTCAGAGTATTAAAGAACTATTAACGACCTGACAGTAATGGACAGCCATTTTGATCCTAGTATATGGCTGTCGTGAAGAAGATTGCCATATTAGGTTGAAACAGCTGTTCAGTACGTTCAGTTTCTTTATAGTTCCCAACTGATTTCGGATTTATATCAATACAATCTGAATTTACTGCAATAATTATTCAAGATTAACTTGATTAGTTTGAATTCATTTGTAACTTTTGAATAAAGTGGAGAAAATGATATTTCCTTGAAATAAACAAAATGTTTTATTAAATAGACTCTAATTATAAACTCACTTCTTCTGAGGTTCCTGAGCAAGGAAGTGGTATTCTCTTATTTATGATAATCCATTCATTTGATTGAGACAATGATTGATCTATATTTGACAACATATATTCTGAACTAGTAGTATTCAAGCAATATCTTCTTCGCCAACGATAACGTGTTATACCACAGTCTTCTGGAAAACATGAAGATGAAAGTGTCCAAGTTGACCATATTCCAACTGGATATTCACAATTTAATCCTATGTATTGAAAATTAATCATTGTAACTTGTAAATCATAAGTTGGTTATAATGAGTGGACTGATATATATATTTCGTATGATAGATTTGTCTTTTCATGAAAAGGGTGAATTGAAGTAAGATACGAGATGATGTATTGCTTATCGCGAATCATCAATAAGACTTATCTACAGTGTTAATGGAACTGATGTTTCTGTGTGACATTTCAACTTACTTCACCTTATATACTTCAATCAGAAGCTTTAATGGAGCCCGATAGAAGTTGGTTAGCTCACAGTCAATGTTACACCTTTTTCTATACTAGACTAGTTGACGTTCGCCATCATAAAAAGTTATGTTCCCTTAACAGTGGCTAACATAACTGGCTAAATCTGAAAAATATGAGAGAAAAATGTCAGTTATGTTCCCTTAACAGTGGCTAACATAACTGGCTAAATCTGAAAAATATGAGAGAAAAATGTCAGTCTAAGCAATTTAGTAACACCATTGAGTATGTGAAGAAAAGTGATTTGTACTTCACCAGCATTACAAATTGTTTGAATTCATCTGTATCTGTATAAATCACTAATTATTCGGACTTGTTATCTACCCACGAATACGAGACGAAGGAAGAACATGATAGCGTAGTCGGATGGAATAGTATATTTGGATGATTGTGCCAAAATACCGATGCTTTCCAACCAACTAGCTACAGAGTCGAATACGAGCAGTTCAACGTAACACGACAGTGTGCCAAATGGCGAGGATGCTTGACCGGGTGCCTTCAGTTTAATGAGTTCAGTTAAACTATCAAGGTCAGCATGAATGTCGAAAGTCGTCAAACCCTAGGCTATTGATTTTGGGGAAGTGTGTGACGCTACAGATCACTCCCCCCCCTAGTGGGTTCGTGAGGACCCTAAGACGATATCAGCCGGAAGTAAAAACCCAGTGGTTTCTCCACTGGTAAAACTCTTTCGATGGGCTCACTGCGTGAAGTGACCCCTGGTTGTCTGAACTTATTCTAGGGTGTCGTGGCAATTAAATAAATAAAATACAATAAATCGTATTGGACGTCGATCGCGATCCTCAGTTCCTTTTGACGTTCCATCCAGTGCTCGTTGCACTTGGAATATCAATAAAAGTCTTTAATACTACGAAAATGTTTCGTAAAAATGGGAATTTTTTTATATATAAACATATCGAAAAATAAAAATTTACGGTTATTTTCACCGTTTTTTTTTTAGAAGTTTCCTTACATGGTAATAAAAATTGATATAAAAAGGCAAAGTGTACGAGGGTTAGCGCATTGCGGGTAAATAAGAAAAATAGTGCCTTTTCCTTAAACGTCAGTGAGTGTACTGTGATGAATTTGCCAAATATCTTTGATCTGTCAATCATCTCCTTTAAACACATACTGAGAGTATCATCCTGATATCGATAATAAAACATTCACTAATGTTACATTTGTTTATTTGATTTATAACACATAGTGAATGGTATACGATTATTTACTTGATGACCACTTTTCTAGTATAAACTATCATCCCTAATAATCATATCACTTTCGATATCTGATTCATATATTTCTGTCACCCATCTCATATTCTTTGTCTTATGGCAATGTCTGTCACTGAAAGGCGTGCCTAGTAAGTACATCGCCTTAGTGAAGACTCTCTACTCGAACACTTGTGGGCATGTTAGAACATATGGCGGGTTGTCCAGGGAGCTATACTCATCGACTGGTGTCCGTCAAGGGTGCCCACTGTCTCCATTCTTATTGAATTTTATCATAGATATTCTTATAGTGGTCCCCCTTTCATCACCAGGTTACACAGACGTTGACCTAACTGGTGGAGAATTCTCATTAGATCTAAAATATGCAGATGACATAGTCAGTCCTGTTAGGTGAAGACGTTGACTGATGAGATGCAGAGTCTTCTGAACACTTTCAGTGGCAATTTGAGAATGTTTGGGATGGGTTTCTCACCACCCCAATGCAAATTTTCGCTCCAGGACTGGTCTTCAGCGGTACCTCACCGTGGTTAACAATAGAGAGTGAAGTGGTTGAGTGTGTTGACTACTTCACTTACCTGGGAAGTAGGATCAACCCTGGTGGGTTAGTTGCCGATGAGATTTCTGCACGGATACAAAAGGCTGGATTGGCTTTTGCCAATTTACGCCACCTATGACGCCACCGTGATATCCCTTTGTCTATTGCCTCGTCACACAATGTTGGCCGAAGTAGGTCCAGGCTGGAAAAAGGCCCGAAGTGGCCAGACTAAAACATGGCACCAATGTATGAAGTCTCTGACTGTTGGTTTAAGCCATGTAGGGCGATGCAGACTAGGTGGTTGAGGTCGGCGGGACAAGAGTAACCAGTAAGTAGTCGGAGACTCTAGGTGAACACATGGTTTAGAACCGAAGTCAGTGTCGCAGATGTACACCAACACACATTATCCTCATCTTAACGACGCTATACCGAATCTCACCATTTTGTCACCCTCTTCTGTTTCTTCTCGTACTTTATATTTCTTTTGACTGCATTCACTTATCTTCATCCTTCGCCTCACTACCTTTCTACTTGATGTAGTGATATGATGAGGTGTGGCAAGTTGGAGGGTTACGCAGTAATGCCTAGTCCTATGTTGATATTGATTGATTGACTGATTGGTAATAAAATTTTCTATATCTCTGGTATGCATGAGTTGTGTTGTGTCATTCCTGCTACATATATGTTGGGTGGGTATCGATTCGATGAACAAACACTCAATAATCAATCTTTCACTTGACCTCTTTATATATTGGACTTAAATACACTGCTTTCCTCTAAAGTGATTTTTCTAAATTATTGATCTCATTCAGGTCTATCATTCTATATTCAAAGCAATCAGTCCCTTTTATGAATTTGGATAATGTAATTAAGAGACAAGGATTATTTGAAATATATAGTGTATTCACCCTATACATTTCGAACAATCTGACGGCACAAGGCATTATATATGAAAACTGGAAGTGGGGGAAAGACAAACATGACATGAAGGAATTCAATAATAAGAAATATAATGAAAGGAAAAAAGTACAAGTGTAAAACTTGGGCACTGTGGTCGATTGTATTTCTATTTTAGTCTGTTTATTAGAAATATCATACAGTGAAGGAACAGTAGCATTTACTGGATAGCCAGGTTTCGGACACAATTTATTGTCCATATTCATATCAGCAACTTCGACACAGTCTTTATGTATTCCTAACTCTTTCTCTCCTCTGTGATGACAAGAGTAGTAGAATTTTCCATATATCTGGGACAGGTGCAGAATCATTTCGATTGCCGCATGTATTCGGTGTTGATTCGATAAACAAAAATTCAGTCGGTTATCAATCTCTCCATCCACCCAACTAAGTTGGTTTTCAACACTGTCGCCCTATCCCACCCTACTGTGTGATTGTGTGTCATCGCATGCAGAGCTATGCCCAGGCGAGTTTTTCTCTAGATTTCTTATCTTATTAGGATCTACTGATCTTGATTTAGCTAAGTTTTTGTGCTCTGTTATTCTAATCGACCGTGCCTGGTCGACTGACTGTTTTGACCTATATACTTGACCTCGCAATCATTGCAAGGGATCTGGTAAACCAGATTATTTTGCTCAATTGCATTGATAGGATCTTTTAACCTTCAAAGCTTGCTTGTTTCTGAGCAAGTTTGTTGGTTTGAATGCCAGCCACTTTAATCCCAGCCAGCCTTATTGAGAATTCTTCGTAGTGCTTCTGAGGTGCTTTCCTTATATAGTAATACGGCAGAGGCTTTGAATTCTCTCTTAACCCTGTCGCCATTATTACCACCGTTAGTAGTGGGATATTACTAATAACATCTGTATTACTACTACTACTACTATCACTGCTAATATTTTTCTCTCGATTTCTTATGAATTTATTTATAAATTTCGGTGGGTAATTATTGAGAGGTAGAGTATTCTTGATGTATCTAATTTCTTGTCTCAGATTTTCCGATCTACTAGTAGGCTTTTTCGCTCCATCAATTAAGCATTTAACTAGGCCTATTCGAATGGGTAGATTTCCTATAGACACTAGTCTCTAGATTTCCTTCTTGTGTTCCTTTAGTCTTGTAATCCAACATTGCTAGCTCACCTTCTTCGCTTTCAAAGTCACAGGTGAATTGGATTGCAGTCACTACTGAATTTATATTGTTCCAAGAACCTATTGATATGTTCCGATTTCAGTACTGTAAACGTATCATCTACATATCGGAATCATATCTGTGGAGTAGGACTAAATGTTTGAAGAGCCACCGTTCCCCAACTATCCATAAAAAGGAAGGAAGACAATCTTGGTAATGCGATAAAATAAGTATTACCAAGGTAGGGTTAACGTAAGTAAAAACTGTTTTTGTACACACATTGGGGGGGGGGGTTAAATTTATTCATGGCTAGCGCCTCAACAAACTGTTTTAATATCAATCCTGTGACTCTTATCAATGATATGTTTTACAATGGATGCGGATGATGGTTGTCTGCCATCTGCGCTTATCAATGTTTGTGAATACAGCTGCTTTCGTAGCCATTTTGGAACATGTTTCCCTACCCTCAAGTGCATATCATGATAAGTCCTCCCTACGTATGTTTGCCCCCCCCCACACACACACATGTAAATTTATAAACGCAATGGGATGTGATCCAATCTTTTATACAGCGTTGAGGTCTAGGTTGCAACAGGTGTTTGGTCTTCTCAACTATGATAAGCTTAGCTGCATAGTACGTTTTGCTGACAGCAGACCTTAACCTTCGTCTTAATATTATGCTGTTAGATTCTCCTCTGTATGGTAACGTGATGTAAACGTATTTCTTCGAAACAGGGTACAGATTGGATTTGAATCCTTGCTGATTTTTGCAGCGGTTTATAAACTTCAATGGATATCCATTTCCCACTAATGTTCCCGTTAGTATTTTGATATCATCATCCATTGAGTCCTCCGTACAAATACGCTGGATCCTTTTAAATAGACAAGTTACCAAACCTCGCTTGTATTGGGTTGGACAAAAGCTATGGAAACTTAAATACTGACGTGTCTTAGTAGGTTTCCTGTAGATCCACCGTTTTATTGAACAACTTAGGAGTATATTCAAGAATAATGTCAGGCGGTTTTCTTTCTCTTCTTCACACGTTATGCTTATGTTGTTTTGTACGGTGTTGTTAAGTCCTTCTAACAAACATGTTGCATCTTCATGCTTATCACATTTGACGATTACATCATCAACATTGTTGATGAATAGCTTCAACAGGTGACTCCTGAAGTTTCAACAACAAGTCACGACCGGTGGAACAAACCTGGTGGACGTGAAGACAAATACTCAAGGATGACAATGGGTAATGGTCGCGCTATGTCGTGAACTGACAGAAGTAGGCAATATGAATGGCTGGATCCCGACTCAATGACCAAGTAGTAACGTCTAGACGACGGAACCTGTAGGTCCTGAGTTCGATTTCTGGGGGGGGGGGCGGGTAGGAGTGATGGGTATGCACTGCTGAGGAGTCCTATACCGGGACGAAAGAGTCAGTGTCCAGTGCTCCCAGGTTTCCAATGTCCCTTCAACTGATGTCTGTACATGATGAACACTAACTTCAAAAATCACTAAACCCCCATCAAACCTCCAAGTTCGAATATCCTAAATTTTCCTTGACAAGTAAGTGATAACAACAAGCATCAAGTTGTAATAACTAAATCTTAATTACTCAGGTTGGACACAAACACCACCTAACCGATGACCTACATTCACTAATTATTTAATGGATTATATGACTATATATTTTGATGTTGATAAAAATTCGTATATGCTGCTGAAGAAGGTTGTTACGTAGCGACAAGAAGGCAGCCAATAGGGGAGTTTTCAAGTCGTGATCAAATCATGTTCAGGTCATAATTTATGCATGCGTTGACATGAGAACCTGATTGGAGGAATTCGACCTCGTACAAGAAATCTGATTGGTTCACTTATGGCTTCACTTTCTGAGAGTTTTGTAACCACAAATATGTTATGTATTTGCTTGTCGCTGTTGTTGCGTTCACAGGTCGTCTTTGTCTTCTGATTTCTCGGCGGCTCAGTGAAGCAGAGAGTATTGAGGGAGGTCAGTCGTAAAGGTATTCAGCTGAGGTGTCTATTGAGTCTCAGTATCATTATACCCACTCACGCAACCTCACCGCTCGGTCACAACAAAGATGTAGATTGCACAGCGAAACTTTCAGACTGAAAATATATTCTTGTAATGAAATATTATCTTTGTTTGTATTCATTGTCATTATCATTTTATATTTCATCCTTTGTTTCATAATTGATGAGTAATCATTTTGAGATGAATAAGGATTTTAATTTAGAAGTAGTACTCATCATGAACTGACTGACATCCATTGAAAACCTTGGAGTGCTGGACAGCCACTGCTCTGTCCTAGTATGCAACTTCTTAACAGTACGCACCCATAACCCCGTCAGGGGTCGAACTCGGGACCTTCAGGTTCTATTTTATTACCTAATTGCTATGCGCACACACAATTCACTTACAAATCTACAAGGATTGACTACTGAGAATATATATATATATATATATATATATATATATATATATATATATATATATATAATTGCCCTATCTCTGATGGTAGACGTGCTTGTTTCGGATGCCTCTATACTGCGTAGATATTCATGATGTTATGTTGATTTTAGTGACTAGAATTGGAATGTGGTACGCGCATTTCGTCCAATTTGAGACTCGTCAGCTGGATGTACCTGTATCTTGGTGGGAACAATATCACTCACTGGGGTGAACATACATCCAGTCGACGAGTCCTAAATAGAACGAAAACAGCATTTTGGATCCCTCTGATAGTCACCAAGATCAATATAACGTAAGATCTATCATCAATCGCTAACTAACCTAGTAATTTTAACGAGAACTACTTATGACTTCACCACCTGACATTTTGGCTTTAGTTCAATTCATAACAACGTTCAAACTTTACTCATTATATAGTTCAGTGGTTCCTCATTCTTTTATCTAAATGGTTAGTAGAGATTTCCAGATATCTGCAATACGTGATGGATCATTCCTGCTGCATACGCATTACGTGCTGATTGATTCAATGAACAAAGATTCTGTGATCAATTTCTCTCACTTATACCATAATATAATGTGATTAGAGGTCACTGGATGTAGAGCAATAACCAAGTTTACCATTGTATGTTTCGTCAAATTTTTTATTGCTCCAATATTCTGACTGCTCCCGATTGGTTGGTTTGATCTATTCACTCCACTTCTCAATCATTATATACAGTTTAATTCTAGTGGATATTTTAGTCTAAAAAGTTTGTCTTTAAGCGAGTTCATGAGTTTAAATGTCACCCTTATTTCAGTCAGCATTATTAGCGATTCTTCTTAAAACTTCTGATGTGCCTTCTTCATACGGCAGCGCTACACAGAGGATTTCAATTCCTTCTTAGGCATATGTTTTAATCATCACCAACATTACTGCTCCTTCTTATAATGGTCTCTGATGTGTTCTACTTACTTATCTAGACTTTTTGATTTACTAGTGAAACTTCTAGCCCAGTTACTTAGACATTTATTTCCTCACGTCTGCCTTGATGTATAAGGGGTAAGATGATGATATCTTCAATCTTAGTGGTGAAACGTCTGCCTCAAAGTCAATGGGGGTTAGTGGATAACATTTTAGCTTTTTAAGTAATGCGTTCTGGCTTCCAGTCTCAGTGGGGACAATATCAGTCACTGGGTTGCAGGTACAACCAGCTGACGAGTCTTAAATAGGACGAAATGTGCGTCGCGAATTCTTCTGCTAGTCACTAAGATCAATATAACATCATGAATATCCGGTAGTTCCAAGCTATCTGTATAAGAGCATGTCTGCCAACAGAGGTCAAGCAATTTGGCCATATACACCAATGGGAAATTATCAGTATCAAAGCATAACTAAACTCTATTAAAGATTGTAAAGGAGATGCCTTGAAACTGAGCAGAATAGTTTTTCTATATTCAACAACAAGCTCCAATCACCATCAATGGGAGAAACCTAAAGGAAGTAGCCTCTTTCACATATATAGGAGGCACTGTTTCAACTACAGGTAGAGGCACACACAGATGAGGATGTCAGAGTAAGAACCGGAAAAGCAAGACAGGCGTTCATTAACCTGAAAACAGTGTGGACATCTACTGCACTCCACTCAGCACAAAGCGTAAACAACATTCGGATTTTCAACACCATTTCAGTCAAGTCAGTGTTTCTGTATGGCTCAGAGAATTGGCATGCTACGAAAGGGATTTCCAACAAACTACAGATACTCATCAACAACTGCCTAAACTGGCTCGTTACTGAAGATCAGCTCAGCTCAGATGTCCAGAATAATAAGAATAAGCAAGGGGGAACTCTGGTTGGCTGGTGACGAACCAACTAACCAAGAACTTATCACTGAACAAATATGCAGTGGAAGTAAATGTAGATGGATTGGGCATACACTGAGAAGGCTGACTGTAGACATCACGCTCCAGGCCAGGAACTCGGGTGGAACCCAGATAGGAAGCGACGAGTTGGACGTCTGATGTGAGGGTGACATGGAGGATATTGTGTGGGGAAGAAATGAGAGGTTGTGGGCTGTCGTGGAGCCAGGTTCAAAGGATTGCAGAGAAGAGAGTGGAATGGAGACGTGCTACTGGGGCTGTATGTTTCATTAGGAATTTAAAGGATAAATAATAATACACCAATTACTAAACCTTTGGTCATCCTTCCAGCTTTCGTCACTTGTTCGCTCATCAGCTGTACTCTTCTTGTCCATTGGATTATATTTCAAGCGGTTTTTCCTACTATGGAATTTAAATTCTTTAAGAAACCTTTTGAAGCGAATCGTTTATTCGCTTTGCATTTTCGTATTTCGGTTTCTTACCCCAGTTGCTATGATTTACCATTTGATATCGTAATTGTGATGCATATACTGTTAAATAATGCCATTTCCTAAAAAACATATAATACTATTCATTATGAACTGATATCATTTGGAGAAACATAGAAAACTTGGAACCGCTGAACAAATGTTTCGTTGTAGTATTATATGACTCAGCAGAGTTAATTAGTTTTTCCGCCAGAGGTCGAACTCGGGTCCTTTAGGTCAGCAAATAATGTTAAAGTGCTCAAAGTGAGCAATTCACATCTTGATATCTCATACCTTAATGAAAAACAATACAATTCAACTTAAATTAAACATAACATTGACTAACCAGTATACAGGAGTGTACCATCTATAGCTGTTGGACAAACACAAGCAGCACGTGTAAAATCAGCTGAAGTTATACATTGTCCACCATTTAAACAAGTAAGACCCCAGTGTATAACTGTATTCGGTTGGATAGGCTTATTTTCATTAGGATAAATTTGATTCACATCGATGCCATTACTTAAACTTGATCTTGTCAAAATATCATCAGCATGTATTGTTAGGCATGGATCAATTCTTCCTAAGCAATTCGGTTCAGAAATGTGTAATAATGGCTGGTAACTAGCTAAACACTGACATGTATAATAATCTGTTCCCAATATTGGTTGACATATATTTCCTAGTTGAATTTGACAATATGAATCTCCATTACGCTCAGACTATAATAGTGGTTGTATGATTTGTAATCAGAAGAAGGAGAAAATCATTTTAACATGTCACAGAATCTACATACTGTAAGTAACTAGTGTGTAAGCATTAAAAACAAATACTCAATAATATAACTGGTATTATTTACTTGATCATATCTTGAGTATAAATTAGTATAGTTCATAATCATATTCATGAAATTATACTACTTTCGACATCTGATTTTTATAGACCTATCACTTCATAGTTCTTGCATTTTGGTGGTATTAAAATTTTCCATACCTACAGGCGATCTGATACACCGACTGAAGTCATCTCTAGGTGAGTCTAAATGGTTTAATTTAACGCTGAAAGAAGAGGATCGGTGGAAGACTGCCGATCCCTCTGGAGTACATGCCTGGATAACGACCACGCTTTGGTCTGAGCGCGTATATGTCTGCGTGTCAATGGACGTGTGAAAAATTTGGCAACAAAATCACCACGAGTATTGCTGAACAACGAAAACACCAAAGCTGTGTTCAATGAGAAGTTGTCTAGACTGTTATCGGGATAGAAGACCACCACTCATCCAGAAGAAGCTTGGTGTCATCTCCAGTCTGCTGTGGAAGTGGCGCTGAAGACCGTAGCTGACTCCGAAATAGTGTCTGAAAAGAGCCAGTGGATATCAGCAGCTTCTTCTGAACTAATGGAAGCGTGTGAACGCATTCCTGCAGGGTCTGAGTACAATGAAGAGCGGGCACAACTTGAAAGTAGACTGAGAAGAAGTTTACGCAGCGACCACGAACAGTGGTGGGTAGCGAAGGCTAAAGAGAAGGAAAAGGCGGCCGCGATTGGTAATAGTAAACAGTTATTTAGGCTTATTAAGGAAACTAGGGGGAAAGGACGACTGCGGTTAGTGGAACCATAGCGGAGAAGAACGGATCTGGGATTCACTCGCAGGGGAGATGACTGGGACGATGGGCAGAACACTTCGAGAAACAGTTTAACTGGCCTCCAGCCACGATTGCGTTGCCCGCTATCCAGTCGGATCCTGAATGGGACATAGGGATAGGTCCACGAACACTAGAAGAAGTTGAAAAAGCGGTAGGTAACCTGAAACGGGGAAGGGCAGCAGGACCAGACGGACTACCTGCTGAGGTATACAAGGATGGTGGTAGAGTGCTCTTATTCAGGTTAACGGAAGTGTTAACTAGTATATGGGAATCGAATACGATCCCTTCTGACTGGTCTAAGTCACTCATCATCCCAGTTTTCAAGAAAGGCGAGAAGTCCTCTTGTGATAACCACACAGGAATCAGCCTGACGAACATACTGTCTAAGATTCTAGCTTTTGTAATTCTTCGACGCCTGAGTGGAGCTCGGGAAGGCCAAGCCCGAGAAAACCGAGCAGGCTTAAGACCTCACCGCGGATGTATCAACCAGGTATTCACACTGTGCTAGATTTTGGAACACAGACACGCTTAGCGACTCCCGACACTGGCTGTATTTCTCGACATGGAGGTGGTATTCAACTTCGTTGATCGAGAAAGCCTGACAGAATTTAGAATACTATTAAGGTTCATAAACTAGGTTATCACATTAGACTGATATTTTACTTGTGAAATACTCCAATGTATGAACTGTCAAAGTACTTAGCATTGATATTATATCCTATTAGAAACCGTTCAAATTTTAAACTAGTGAATTCTTACGAGTTAAACAAAGACTTATTGATCTATATAAAGAAGAGGGTGAAAAAAAATGATTAGTTTCGATGTGACAAGACTTTATACTAAAATACCAATGAATATAGTATTGGAGGCAATCAGAAATCAATTAAATATTGACTTATAATTTACTCAGAGAACTAAGATATTGGTTGATGGAATTGTATTTAGTGTACAGATGTATCTGACTTCTTCAGTCTTCAACTTTTAGGAGAAAATATAACGAGAAACTAAAGGAGTAGCAATGGGATTACCAATATTCCTAGTGGATAGTTAGGAAAATATAACTTTATGAACGTTTAATCCTGCACCTAAGATATGATGGTGATATGTGGACGACACATTTATAGTTCAATTACCAAGTAGAAAATGTAGAAAGAGAATTAATTACCTATGTTGAATCTCAGAGTAAAATGGAGGATAGATGTTGATGTTTTGAATAGCATGGTCAACAGAAAACTGACACATTCTAACACGTAGATATCTAGACTTCATTTCATGTCATCCAATGTCAGTCAGTCAGTTAAGGCAGATTTTGTCAAATGCCCAATGCATATCCACTTCCCTCCACTGCATATTTGTTCAGTGATAGGTTCTTGCTTAGTTGGTTCGTCACCAGCCAGCCACAGTTCCCCCTTGCTTATTCTTATTATTCTAGCCATCTGAGCTGAGCTGAGCTGATCTTCAGTAACGAGCCAGTTTAGGCAGTTGTTGATGAGTATCTGTAGTTTGTTAGAAATCCCTCTCGTAACGCGCCAAGTCTCTCAACCATATAGGAGCACTGAACTGGTATTGAAAATCCGCATCTTGTTCACCCTTTATGCTGAGTGGAGTGCAGTAGATCTCTACACTAGTTTCAGGTTAATGAACGCCTGTCTTGCATGCTGTTCTGATCCTGGCTGACTTTGACATCCTCGTCTGTGTCTATGCCGCCTATGCTGCCTAGATAGGTGTTGGTGAAGGAGGCTACTTCCTTTCACTTTCTCCTGTTAATGGTAATTACAGCTTGTTGTTGTTGTTGTAGGTGTTGGTTGGGTATCATCATCACCTCTATCTTCTCTACATTCACTTGAAGTCTCATCTTCGCTGCCTCACATCTTCTCTCAACTTGTTAGTTTTCGCCTGGAGATCTCCCAGTCTATATGACATCAGACACAAGTCATCGGTGTAATCCAAATCCTCTAGAATCTTTTCCCAAAAGTAGATTAATGCAGTGGAACTTCTTTCGATTCAGTAATTGTTTTAATCGAATCTTCTGTTATTGGTAAAATAGTTGCTCACTTCAAACATAGTATACAATGAATGCATTGAGAAAGTCGATTAGATATTTCCACCTTAGCTCTTATCAAGTATTCACTCCCATTAATACATTTGAAATGTTGATTTGATTTATAACACACAGTGATACAGTATTATTTATTTGATGACATTTTGAGGATAACTTTGATTGATGATGATCATATCAATGTGTAATGACACCACTTTCGACCTACACCTAAGATAATGATAGGCATATATGGATGACAAATTTACTGTGTGGAAACTGTGTGGAACATATTGACAATTTGCTGATATATATAAACTCAGAAGTAAGCGTAATTCAATTAAATTACGAAGTAGAAAATGAAGAAGGAGAATTAATTACCTATGTTGAATCTCAGAGTAAAATGAAGGATAGATGTTAATGTTTTGAATAGTATGGTCAACAGAAAACTGACACATTCTAACACGTAGATATCTAGACTTCACCTCATCTCATCTAATGTCAGTCAGTCAGTTAAGACAGGTTTTGTCAAATGTCTGAGTTATTGAGCTAGAAAACTGACTAATCACTTCATCAAGTGAACGTGAATTATTTTTATGTTTATTAGTCCCTTGGGTTCCTAATGAAACATAGGGCTTCAGTAGCACGTCTCCAGTGAACTCTGTTCTCTGAAATCGTTTGAACCTGGCTCCACGACAGCCCACAACCTCTCATTTCCCCCTCTCACCATCTCCTCCATGTCGTCCAACTCGTCGCTCCCCATGTGGATTCCACTCGGGCAACTGGCCTGGTGCGTGATGTCCACAGTCGGCCTTCTCAGTGTATGCCCAATCCATCTCCACTTCCTTACACTGCATATTTGTTCAGCGATAGGTTCTTGGTTTGTTCGTTCCCACAGCTCCTTGTTGCTTATTCTTATTATTCTGGCCATCTCATCTGATCTTCAGTAGCGAGCCAGAGTAAGCATTTGTTGATGAATATCTGTAGTTTACTGGAAATCCCTTTCGTAACGCGCCAAGTCTCTCAACCATCACACAGAAGCACTGACTTGACTTAGTTGGTGTTGAAAATCCGCATCTTGTTCCACATGCTGAGTGCAGAAGATCTCCACACTGGTTTCAGGTTAATGAACGCCTGTCTTGCTTTTCCAATTCTGACTTTGACATCGTCGTCTGTGCTTGTGTCGCCTGTAGTTGAAACAGTGCTTCGTAGATAGGTGAAGGAGGTAACTTCCTTTAAGTTTCTCCCATTGATGACGAATGGATTTTGTCGTTGTTGTTGGTGGTGGTGGTGCGGTAAGTGAACGTGAATAATAATTAATAATTATCCTCCCTGCCTCCATTGTGTTGTGATCATATGAGGAAGGAAGATGTGAAAGTTTAGGTAGGATTTTCAACAAGGCTGGAATTTGAATGTCATTTAAACGTGAAAACTCACTCAGAGATAAGCTTTGTCGACTGATAGGATATATCTAATTAAGCAAAATGATGTTATGTAATAAATTTCATGCAATGACTATGATGTCAAGTATGTAGATGAGACTAGCCGGTTGGGATTAGTTAGAATAACGAAACATTGAAATGATAGACGTGAATACGATGAGTAATCTTGAAGAGAAATCTCAACAGTTGCAATGGATACATTAACCTAAACAAAACCATATACCTTAAGGGTGAGTTAAAACCCCTGTAATCAAGTCCAAGCCAGTTTCTTATTTAGAAATATTGAAATAAATAAAGAGAGAGAGAGACGTAATCAACAAATAATTCGTCTACCTTATTAACTCTTTCATGGCATGCATCACGTGGTAGAGAACAGTCGATTCCCATATATTCTGATTTACAAACACATTCATATTCAGAATGTGTATAAGCAATACACTTCAGTGTATTATCATGTATACAAGCTGGATAAGTTGTTCTATAACATGGATTGATTGGTTGACATATCTTCATATTTCTATCCCATAGCATGTCATTATCACATTCACATTCATAATCATTCTATATAAAATAATAATAATAATATTATTATTATTATATACTATTTATTTACATTTTGAAAGAGAAGAATAGTTTAATTGACAACAATAATGAAAGATAAATGAAGTAATTAAGAATGATAAATGATAGCTGGCATTGGAATCTAGAACTCAGGTTTCGTCCTACCTGGGACTCATCAGACAATGACAATGACTTTAAAAGGAATGACATATACTTTTATAGGATATCTAAAGTTAATTTCATTCTACTGAAACTTATTGATTGTCTCTTGTAGACTTTAATTTTGACGAGAGTACGATTGAACATCTTAAAGTTAAGGATGAATAGATCAAAACATGATAGGAATCCAACTGTAGTTGTATACTACGTAGGATTAATCTAGGCCATCTGTTTTGATATAAGTGTAAAACTTGGGCACACTGTGGTAGAATGTAATTCCATATTAGATTTGTTTATTTGATATATATATAGAGCACAGTGATACAGTATTATTTACTTGATTACGTTTCAAGCATAAATGATCATTGCTCATAATCATCACATCAATGTAATCACACACAAGTTTCGATATCTGATTTTATACTCCTCTCACCTGATCTCTCTTTGTTTTTTGATGGGTAGTAAAGTTTTCCATATCTCTGGTATAGGTGTTGCGTCATTCCTATTACATGTGTTGGGTGTGGATTCGATGAAGAAAGATTCAGTAATTAATCTCTTTCTCTCTCTCCACCTAACTATATTAGACTTAAGTACAGTGGTTTTGTCCCACCCTATTGTGTGGTTGTGTGTTAATGAATGTAATGCAATGGCTGAGTGTTTTTCTAGATTATTGATCTTATTGGGATCTGCCGTTCTATGTTTAGCTAAATTCCTATGTTCTGTTAAGCTAAGTGACCCCGACCGGCTAGTTTCACCTATGTATTTGACCCCACTCATAGTCATTACATGGAATTTGGTAGATTATATTATTTTGCTTAATTGGTTCTATCGGATCCTTATGCCGGCCGACAAAGCTTACCTCTAAGTGAGTTTGTTGGTTTAAATGCCACCTAATTCCAACCTTGTTGAGAATCAATCCTACGTATGGTTTCTGATGTTCCTTCCTTGTATGGTATCACAATAGAGGTGTTGATTTCCTTTCTACTTATGTTGTCACTATTATTTGTATTTGTATTAGTGTTATTATTTGCTTCTTATGCGTCCGTGTGAATTTCTTAATAAAATGATGGGGATAATTATTAACGCTTCTTTGATGGGTTTCAATTCCTTATTTAAGTCTTACAATGACTAGTGAGTTTCTCAGCTCTGTTATTTCGACATTTGACTAAACCCACTTTAACTGACACTGGATGAGATGACTTGAAGTCTAGACCGCCTGTTTTGAGTCTTCAGGATTATGGAATATCGGCTCACTGAACCAAAGAAAAATGAAATTATCATGAGAATCTCACTAGGTTCATAACTAACAAATTGCTTTATGGTCAGTTTGGAGAACAGATCCTTGAAATCAATGACTAAAATTTTTCCACTATAAAAATGTTAATTTGACGATACTTTTATTATCCTTAATAATTAGTGTGCTTTGAATCATATTCTGCAGATATTTACTAACTGGTACTTAACAATTAAACTCACCCTCGAGGTTGAAAATTGATCGAAAATTCAATTTCTTGATGTAGAGCTGATAAAACTTTAAGTGGTACAATTCATAGGAAACCAATGTAGAATGATCATCTAACAAACTTTAATAGTTGAGTTGTTACGAGTTGTAAACGAAATGTTGTGATCGTATCTCTTGTCACTTTTACTAGACTAACATTCTGACTGAAAACGAATTCTCACCACACGCTTTATAAACAAAAATATCAACCCTAAACCTTTGGTTACAAAGGTCAATCATAGAGAACATTTTTTAGGCCACTAATGACACTAGTATTCTCTTATCATCCAATGATGGACAAACTTTTGTATCTGGCTACTTTTGTTTGTGCATAAATCAATTCACCTGCTCTTGTGGATCCGGTCTGGTAATATAGGTCGTTCAATATGACTGTTATCCAAAAGGGTTCAAGAGTACTATACCGTGTAGTTACAAAGAGGTAATGATATAGCGATAAGCAGTGCTATAACTGAACATATGAGTCACCCTTATTCAAAGTGAAAAGAAACCTTCCAAAGACTTCACTCCTTTGTATTCTCTGAATTGCTAAACCTCTTCCCATCTATATAAAGACAAACATGAGCTTTTTATGTAAAAGAAGATTGTTCAACACCTTCTGTTTTCATGGTTTTAATTTCCAGTTTTTGGAATTATACCTTTCGTTTTTAACACTGTTCACTTCTATCTAGGTGACTTCTTATCACATTTCAGTTTGCAAATCTTTTCTCATGGTAATAAAGCTTGTTAATCTGTATACAATCCATTCATATTCGGATTAATCTTCATTACTTGTCATACATTTTTGTTTATTTATTAATAGCTCGGAGCATTCATTAACCTGAAATCAGTATGGAGATCTTCTACAATCCGCGTAAAGCGTGAACAAGATCCGGATTTTCAACACCAATTCATTGCTACTTTATGGTTGAGAGACTTGGCGCGTTACGAAAGGGATTTCCAACAAACTACAGATATTCATCAACAACTGCCTAAACTGGCTCGTTACTGAAGATCAACTCAGCTCAGCTCAGATGTCCAGAACAGTAAGAATAAGCAAGGGGGAATTCTGGTTGGCTGGTGACAAACCAACTAACGAAGAACCTATCACTCAATAAATATACACTGGAAGTAAATGTAGATGGATTGGGCATACACTGAGAAGGCTGACTGTGGACACCACGCTCCAAGCCAGGCACTCGAGTGGAACCCAGATGGGAAGCGACGAGTTGGGCGTCTTATGTGAGGGTGATATGAGGATATTGTGTTGGGAAGAAATGAGAGGTTGTGGGCTGTTGTGGAGTCAGGTTGGGAAGATTTCCGAGGACAGAGTTCACTGCAGACGTGCTACTGAGACTGTATGTTCCACTAGGAACCCAAGGGACAAATAGTAATCAATAATAATGTAGAATAATCAGGTGACATGTCCTACTGAAGTTTCTGAATTCAATAAAAAATGAGATATTGGACAATTGAATTCGAACTATAATGGATTATATATAGAGTACTAATCTTCAAATTACTTTATAGATGAAAATAATAATGATTCACATACCTCAAAAGTACCAATAACACTACAGATATGACTTTTCACACCTTTAACTGTTCGGCATGGATTTCCAAGGCATGGATTGGGACAACCATTTTAATACCATCTAAAATGTTTTCTTGTTGTTTTATATTCAATTGTTTTAGACTAGCCCATGCCTATAGAAATGAAATAATAATAATAATAATGACAATACGGATTATCAGTTTCTTCAAGATCGATAAACAACTAGCTGATGAGTCCTATATAGAACAAAACTCGTTTCATGGATCCTACTGGTAATGAATAATTCCTCCCTAATATCATCATGAAATTGTTTGGTATATCTAGACATTCACACAGAAGCTTATAAAGCAATACTCGCTAATCAGTATGTCTAAAAACCATTGAACAAGGTTAAATAACACGTCATAGTAGCATTCGTTTATGCTAAGCATCCAGAAATATATAATTAAAACAAGGTTATATAAGTGAACAATATCGCTTTCAATTAGATTCTCTTCAGGCTTTATTCGAATACAAATAGTCCAGATACGACTCACTTAGACCAATAGGGAGTAAGGCACCACGGTTATACGGTGTACATAAAATACACAAACCTGGACTCACTCTTCATCCCGTTTTAGACATATCTAACCCTCCATACTACTCAACTACAGAGTGCCTAGTAAGGATTTTAGATCCCTTATTATTATTTGTCCCTTGCGTTCCTGATGGAACATACAGTCTCAGTAGCACGTCTCCATTCCACTCTCTTCTCTGAAATCTTTTCAACCTGACTCCACGACAGCCCACAACCTCTCATTTCTTCCCAACACAATATCCTCCATGTCACCCTCACATCAGACGCCCAACTCGTCACTTCCCATCTAGGTTCCACTCGAGTGCCTGGCCTGGTGTGTGATGTCCACAGTCAGCCTTCTCAATTATGCCTAATCCATCTACATTTACTTCCACTGCATATTTGTTCAGTGATAGGTTCCTGGTTAGTTGGTTCGTCACCAGCCAGCCACAGTTCCCCCTTGCTTATTCTTATTATTCTGACCATCTGAGCTGAGCTGATCTTCAGTAACGAGCCAGTTTAGGCAGTTGTTGATGAGTATCTGTAGTTTGTTGGAAATCCCTTTCGTAACGCGCCAAGTCTCTGAGCCATACAGAAGTACTGACTTGACTGAAATGGTGTTGAAAATCCGAATGTTGTTCACGCTTTGTGCAGAGGGTAGTGTAGTAGATCTCCACACTGGTTTCAGGTTAATGAACGCCTGTTTTGCATGCTGTTCTGATCCTGGCTGACTTTGACATCCTCGTCTGTGCCTATACCGCCTATGCTGCCTAGATAGGTGTTGGTGAAGGAGGCTACTTCCTTTCAGTTTCTCCTGTTGATGGTGATTGCAGCTTGTTGCTGTTGTCGTTGTTGGTGTTGGTTGGGTATCATCATCATCTCTATCTTCTCTAAATTCACTTGAAGTCTCATCTTCCTTCGCTGCCCCCTGCCCTGTCTCTTCTGTCAACTTGTTAGTTTTCGCCTGTAGATCTTCAAGTTTGTGTGACATTAGACACAGGTCATCGGCGAAATCCAAATTTTCTAGGTTCTTTTCGCCGGTACAGCCAGCGTATCCGCCACCGTATCTTCTCACAGCTCCTCACTGTTTGTTGCATGATCCAGTTCAGTCCACGACAATCAGGAATATCGTGGGTGACAGTAGGTGTCAGCCTTGTCTAGTCTTACTCCTGTCTTCACTTCACTTCAAATGCATCACTGAGCTTTCCATTGTGAATTACTTGGCATGTGGCGTCTTCATATAGCTAGCTGTTGAATGAGGTTGATAAAGGTTTGTTGTATTCCGTAGTGTTGAAGCAACTGCCTGCTAAATTACTTCTCAGTCGACGCTGTCAAAGGCCTTCTCATAGTCAATGGAGTTGAGGTAGAGAGTTGACTGCTATTCTATACTCTGAGGTATCATGATGCGTTGCGTTGCAATTTGGTCCGCACATGATTTGTACTTCATGAATCCAGCTAGTCAGCCTGTTCGGGTAGTAGTTTTGAATCCAGCGCATCTTTTAGTCACTGCAGGATGATGTCACTTAGTAGTTTGCTTGTGGTGGACAGGGTGGAGCACGATTCCGCGCCAGGTTTTGGAAACACTTAGGTCGCCCTTCTTCGGCAGTTTGACAAGGTAACCCTCCTTCCAATCGCCCCTTCTCTTCCTTCAACACCTTCTGCAATTGTGGTGTGAGCATGTCCGCTGTTGTTCCTGCCTCTGTTTTCAGTGCTTCTGGCGGGATTCCATCTGGTCCTGCTGCTTTCCCACATTTCAGTATTTCGACTTTTGTTGGAGGATTTGTGTTCACTTGTAGTTCAGCGGCTTCAGGTGGTATTTCTGGACGAAATGTAGGTGGTGGTCGATTCAAGAGCTTCTTGAAGTGGTCAGCCCATTGTTTCCTCTGTTTCTCTTCTTTTGTAATTAAATTCCCGTCATCATCTTTTATTGGTTTCATCTGTGCTCTGTTGATCTCCTCCCAGATAGCAACCTGGTTATTTGATACAATGTCGTCAGGTCTCTCTTACCAGCAGCCTGTTCTGCTTCACTTGCCAGTGTTTCGTAGAAGTGTCTTTTGTCTTTCCGTGCACTCTTCTTCACTTCTTTGTCCAGTGTTTTATACATTGTGCTCAGTTCCTCTTGTTGTTGAGCATCCATGCACTGGTTTATCTTCTGCTTCACTATCCTCCTCTCCTCTATCAGCTTCCAGATATCCATCGAGATCCATTCCTTATCTTCTTTCTTCTTCCTTCCTAATACTGTTGTGCAGGTTTCTTTCCACATCTCTTTCAAAGACTTCCAATGTTTATCCACGTAGGTTTCTTAAGGGATGTTCCTTACACAAGAAAATTAGTTAACCACAGTGTGAAAGATGCCTTTGAATTTATTTCGAAGCTATATATCTTGAATGTTATATGGTAAACATATGATATCGCTTGATATCTCATCACTATTCACTAATGTGCCATTATTGGAGATGATAGGGTTTTTATGTCATCAAATACCAGATAATCAAATCAATATCGGGATTTCAACACACATCGTCAAGGATTACATTTTGTCTTCAATAGTTCATATGATAGACAGATTGTTGGGAGAGCTATGGGTTTACTATTTCAACGTATATAAGCTGATATATTTCTTGCCAAACTGGAGAATGAAACATTGGAAGATGTCATTAATGAGATGAATATGTATCACTGTTATATTGACACAACATATTTGTTATCCTGGATCAGAATGTGGATACAAACAAGATGTTAAGAACATTTAATGAAGTGTATCCTTCACTCACTTTCACTTGTGAAGATGAGAATCTGAGTAAACTACACTTTTTCGAAATCTTGCTAAGCATAATAGAAGATGGTTCACTCAGCAGATATGTTTGCAGGAAGACTACATTATAAGTCAGTATATACATTTTTCTTAGTCAAGTATCCATTCGGTATAAAATAAATCTGGTTAAACGCCTCACCAACAGATCAAGGAGAATATATTCAAACGATCTAGTACAGGAGTTAGAATATATTTGTAGTTCATTGATGGAAATGGGCTACCTTAACAATTTCATAAAAAGACATGCGGATAAAACGAGGTGAAAGAAACGTAGAATTCTTGATATCTTGAAACAAATGGTTGTTCAGGAAATTGTAATTTAATGGAGATGTAGCCGAAGAATTTTTGTATCAGATGATTCTCTATAGACATCAAGAAGATTTTTTACATACTGTACAACTCTGTCTATCATTTTTCAGTCGACCAGTTGTTATTGCTTAAACCTAAAATGAGGTATGTAGTCTTGACATGTTACTGAGCATCTATCTACCTTCGTAGTTGGGAAAGGGATGGAAAAACTCCATCAGAAGTTCGGTTTCATTTAATCTCGTTGATAGTGGTCACTTTCAAGATTATTCCTCGTGTACCATCTCATCTTTTGAAAGGTATTCGAACTCGTCTTTTACAATACATAGCAGAATCCGAAGTAATAATCCTAGTCTTTATATCCAGAAGAATTTTGTATATCCCTTATCTCTCCCTTGGCCAGGGAATATATAATTCATAACTTTATAGATCTGGAGGTTTTTGGAGATTTACTGATTGATTTCAGATAGGAATTCATCTTGAATTGACATCAGTTGGTGACTAGCTTCGAGAGGCGATTCCTGAAATTCCAATGACAAGTCATGACCAGTGAAGTCAACCAAGTCGAATATGAGGACAGTTACTCAACGACCACATTGGATGTAAGTCGCAATATGTCGTGAACTGACAAAAGTGTCTCAGTGGCAACGTGCTGGTCACGGAACCTGAAAGTCCTCTGTTCAACTACTGGCTAGGTCATAGGTTTCCAATGTTCCTCAAATTGATAGCATTGTATGATAAATTCAAACTTATAACAACTTTACCATTGAAAGTTTTTGCTACCGTTTTCTTATTTTTCACACTGTTTCATATCATTTCATTATTTTCCCTTTAGGTTTCTGGTGGAACATAAGACTTCAGTAGCACGCCTCCTTCAGCCTTCTTTTTTAACCTGGATTTATGACTGCCTACAAGCTTTCATTTGTTTCTCACTACTTCATATACTTACTTTATTTATTGTTTAGACTTCATTTATCCACTTACATTATCCTTCAGTATTGCATAACTTTTATGCTGTCAAGCCAGCTTTTAATCCACTTTGATTATTATCAAAGTGTTTACATATTCATGCTGCTTTCTTGTCTCCTATCATCAGCATCATTTATATTGCAATGTTATCACATTTATTATTTGTATTATTGTCATATTAACCGACAAATCTACATGATTGATTCATTTTTCGTAGATACTAAGCTATGAGAGTAAAGCTTGAAGAGGACTATTGGTCGGTTATCTGTCTTCTTCTAATTTATATGATAGGAATTTTTAAAAGTTTACAAAGTCTTAATTCTGAGTTTTTCTGGTTCTTCCACATTTTTTTCGTAAGTTGAAAGAAACATTTTCTAATCTTAAGATTATACGGCATTGTAAATAAAAACTTAATCTCCTGTTGGAAGTCGGTAGAGAGTGGAGTACAGCATGGCACAGTCCACAGTCCCCTGCTATTGCTACTATACATAAATAACCTGCGAAAT